CGTCGGCCTATTACAATGCCCCGGCCTTCCTAAACGTCTCATTGTCATCGGTGCTCCTCTGCCCATGCGTCGATGCGCACGAATCATTGTTTCTCGTGTGGGCGGCTCTCTCACCGCGACGCCATCGCCATCGGTCGCGCCGTTTCGCGCGCGAGCCGAGGCCAAGCGTGAGTCCCCGCGCGGCCGCGCGATCATTCTCGCGACAGCACGCGTTAATTAGTCCGATGATCCGCCCATTCCCGCCGAAGTGGGACGATATCGTCGCGATATCGGCGCGTGACGGTGACGCGATTCTTCGACTTTTCCGGCGTGTCTCGGGTTTCCCCGCGGCCGCCACCGGCGGGTCGAAATTTCGTGCGCGCGCGAGCGCACGTCAATACGTTCCCCGTACTATCGCTGAACTTCCCGCTTTCCCGCCGGATTTGATCCAGTTCCGTTCGGTTTGATACTTTAGCTCCGATACGAAGTGTATATATAATCATGATATATTTTGATAATTATATTACGAAACACATGTTATTTGATGAATAAAAAATTTAGGAAAAATGAGGAACATTGAGGAAACATGTTTGGTACACTGAGAGGAAAGATATCTAAAAAGTACTTATTTAGCGAGCGCTAATAACACATTTATTTACAAATCTAAATTCTCTTTTATTGAAATATATAATAGATAATTGCTTTTATATGGAAAGTGACAAATTTGAGGAGAAATATATTTTCTTATATTAAATAAATTTTTTCTCAGGATGAAAACATATATATAAGTAAATATGTTATTAATGCTTACCGAATAGGTATTGCGATGGTAGACAGCGCACCAGTCTACTATGCTTTTAGAGGTCCCGGGTTCGATCCCCGGCAGAATCAGAAAAATTTTCATACGCTCGTAGCTCCTCTTCGGTGGTCCGGCAAACCGCCAAGAGTAATAACCACATGCCAAGAAAACTTCTCTCCAACTGCCGTTCGGCGTTAAACTGTAGGTCCCATATGGATGTGTACAATCTGGGTGCGCACCACATGCATATGTAAAAGAGAAAAGTCGGCCCAGGCTCGAACTCGAGCTGTGTAGCGCCAAAATGGGAATAGGTATTGTTTAATTTTTCAGATATTTCTTCTTTCAATGTATTTGCAACTTTAATCGCATAAGTGAAATAATTACAGTTAGGAGAAACATTTGTCTAATAGCGTTAATATTGTTCTAATAGTCTAATAATGTAGTTTCTAATAGTCTTTCTAATAAGTGTTATTATAGTGTGAGTGATAATAACCTTATATGCAAATTGCTGCGAAGAAAGAAGAAGAATGTCAGTTCCCGTAACGGCATAATGGCCGTAAGAAAATTCGATGATAAATAATATCTTTGTTATTGCGACCGAAAATATTTATCTGAACATTCAGTTGCGTTAAAACTCGGTTCAGACAACTAAGAGCGATTGATTGAGCAGAAACCTCCTGTGGGAATTGATCTGTTCCCACAACTGAGTTTTCGTTTAGTCCCCCAGGCAACAGAAAATTCGGCCACACCAAGGGAGTTGTTTCTTCCGTGCTGAAAGAAACAAAGTACTGCATTCAAATAAATATTTGCTAAAGAGTATTGGAGTAAGTTTTTAATTTGAATTAAATGAACATTATTTGAATGTAGCACACTGAAAGAAAAAGCGCTGTATTCGAAGAATACTTACTTAAAGTTAGGGTTTCATAGAAATAAGCCTTATTTCTACGAAGTATACCTTACATCCCACAAATAAATTTTCAAGTACTCTTTTCTCCGCGGAGAAGCTACGTGATATTAATCCCGGCACGGGACGCGTTAATGCGGGATGGCCCGGAGATCCGTCGTTAAATTTCCACGTGATTCCAACTCGCGAAATTTCAATTTTCATTCACTCGGGACACCCATTCTTCCGTTCGGAGCTCGCGGGGGTAGGTGGTAACTTTTTCGTTAAGTAATTAATACGCGGCTGCATATTCGCCGACTTTGATCTCGACCAATTTTCCCGCCTCATTTGAACGGTAATATCCGCGACGATGGAGTGCATCGTGCGCATCGTGCACGAATGAAATAACAACCGCGCGGGAAATCCGACGATAACTCGCGAAGGGACTTTCCTCCGCCGCGCGCGTGTGCGTGCGTGTGCGCGCGCGCACACAGGAATGATTTACACGCCGGCGTCCGAGTTTTCTCGCTCGGACATTCCTCGCCCCGGCGAACGAACGAGTCCGTCCCCCCGCCGGGGCAGGGAAAAAACAATTATCGCGAAAACTGCATTCATTAATAACGGATAACGTATCATTGCATCGCGTCACGCAGATATTCAAGCAGAAACCGGTCGGGGGGCCTAACTCGATATGCGAATCTCGCCAGATAAGCACGCATCGTCAAGTAAATCAGACCTTCTCTCGTTACACGCGTATTCTTAAATGCAATATCCCGGGACTACGGACTACAATCAACTACGGATCTTACAGCCAGCGCTAAAGATAATGATCCCGGCGCCCGATAAGTATTAATAGTGCGAGCTAGTTGCCGATGCGCACCACCACAAAGCAGAGAGACGTCCTTCCGTTTCTCGTTCCATTATATTAAGTGGCCTCTCTCTCTCTCTCTCTCTCGTTCGTTCTCTCGCTCGTCGATTCGAAGCTCGATACGTTTGATACGTGCGATGCATTCCGGGCCAGATTTTTTGACGATCGCAAAACAACGAGCCCGCGTTTCCGATCGCGAATGCGCGCGCGCCCCGCTAAACTGTAATTATCACGAATCCATCTTAAGAAGCGATCACATATTCTTCTTGCTACATGATATTACCGATGATCTACAGTACATTGAAAATTGTAGTCTTCCGCGGCGCACGATCGCGATCTTCTTGATCCACGTCCAGGGTAATAAATCTGCTCTAATGCCGGGTTGCGGAGAAACAGTTATCGGGCTCTTGAAATTTATCGGATCTTTAACAATTTTCCGCCATTATCGTCAACGATTATCAACAATTCTTTTTAATGCCGACTATTCAGCGCCGGCGGTTTTTGCCGACCCGGCATTAACGCGTTAAGCTTAGAACGCGCGCTTACCCGCTCGAAGCGCGCGCGCGAAGTGCATTGTCTCGGAGCGCGATTCCGCCGATAAATCCTATAGGCTAATGCTACGTTGCTAAGGACGGATAATTGAGACTCCGAAATTTATCGTCGCCTGGCTAATTGTCTCGGCGATGCGCGCTCGGCGTTCCGCTGGCAATTTGTATAATTCGAAGCATCGCGGAGCGATTCTCGGCGTCGCTCACTCACGACGTAAGCAGTCGAACTGTGCGATTCGTAAATTTCCTCATCTCGAGAAGTTAGCGCACTGTTCATTCGTGGTCCGCTCGCTGGGGGATTTATGTAAAAACTAACGTTGGACTAACGGGAGTAATGAAAAGCGAGGAAAAGAAAGCGTCGAAGAGAAAGGAGAAATGGAGGATATGAAAGGAAAGGAGTGTGCTGTTATATAATAAAGATGTGTACAGGCAATATTTGCGAGGCTTTAGGTACAGGATAATACAACGGAGGGGTATGATTTGCATATACAATATGTGTCGCGTTAGACTTAAATATACGGATATGTTGGTAATAATAAGAAAAGACAAAGTGGGAGTGCGAGATTAATAGAATTATACATAAAGGTGAAAATAGTGAGAGATTGCCTATGTAGACGAACGAGTATTAAATGATAAGGATACGTGATATGGAGAATGTAGATAGGTGAAAACTACAGAATTAAAGTGTGGTAAGACCAAAGTGTAGACCAATTTCTCTTCTTGGCAAAAAAGTTGGAGTAATAAATTTATATATATATACACAATATATATACACATATAAACTAGTGATATGTTGAATCCTTTTTATTTATTTCCAAATTTTTTTAATTAACTTTATGATATGAACTTTTTTCATTTACTTATAAATTAAAAAGTTTCCGATAATATTAGCCCCGAAAAGTCATCATCTGCCATTGGTTTTGATATTAAAATACGTTGTTGCATACAGTAATTTGAAGAATCGTAGAGCAATTCTCAATACATTGCCAATTGGACAAATTGCCGGGCTTAAAAAATTTTGTGAGTACGTAGTAACGTACTAAATTTTTACAATTTTTATGTATAACATAGGAGTCAGTATAATAGAAAATCTAAAAGTGAAAATAATAATTTATAATTGAGAACTATCGAAAGTTTAGGTCGATCGGTTGATCAACGATCATTAAGGAAAAGATAGATTTACTCGAGTGGTTGGCAATATGTTAATATCGCTCGCTCTTAATATGGATTTCTCAGATGTCAAATTGATCAACTCTACACTGAGAGAAAAAGAATCTAAAAAATAAAAAAAACATCCGATGGATAATAATGATATATTTATTTAAATCTTTTAATTCTTTATTTAAATAGAATACAATTGCTCTCGCAAGAAAAGCTGCAGATTTAAGGAAGTGTACATCTTTTCACTTGAAAAAAATCGAAATTTTGGTCTCATGTTGAACTTTTAATTCTACAACACAGTGTACTGAAAGAAAAAACAATATCTAAGAAACAAAAATATTTTTTTGGTGGATATCAATAACATATTTACTTAAATTTCGAGATTCTCTTATTGAAATATTTAAACAGAACGAACGATTGTTCTGAATGAAAAACTGCAGGTTTAAGAAAATGGATATTTTATCACTTGAAAAAGTCTGTTCTCAATATACAAATACACACATATATTAGTACAATTATATATGCTAGTGGCCACCGAATAAAACATTTTCATTCGTCAGATATTTCGTTCTCTCGGGACACCGATCGTAAATCTCTGAATGTTCGAAAGCCAAGCGTTCACTGATCATCACATTCCGCTATTGAAACGCGTCGCTGCATGCGAGCGTGGCCGTTAAGCGCTCTTAATATCAATACCGATCTTCGATATGAGCGTGCCGTAACGATCGCGAGATCCGTAATTAAAGTATCCTCGTAACGGGCCTATTGCCCGGTATTATTAAGTATCATCGTTTTCTCGTGCCTCTCGACGGCGATGTTCTTGATGCGCTCCCATAACATCGGATACGGATGAATCGTTCGGGCGAAGTCGACGCGGTCCAGCCGGTACAGCTCGCAAATCTCGACGGCGACGACGCTGGCGACTCTACGCTCGTCCGGCATCACCAGCGCGATCTCCCCGAAATGCGCGCCGTCCTCCAGGTGGCACACCTCCTTGCCGGAGCTCGTGTAGATCGCCACCGTGCCGGTGGCGATGAAGTACATGCAGTCGCCCGGCTGGTTGACCCGCACGATCACGTCGTTCGTTAGGAATATCTCGGATTTCAGCAGGGCGACGATGCGCGTCAACAACAGGAAGGGCAGATTGCTGAAGAACGTCACGTTCTCCACGAGCTTGCGGCAGGCGTGCATGCCGATTTCCTGCCGCATCTGAATGGACAGGGTGTGGAGGATCTCGTTCTCGCGGAAGTAGCGATGCTGAAAGCGAAACTCGTAGTACGCCACGATGCGATGCTGAGTCGTGCGCGGCAGCTGCCGGTACCTCATGTATCTGCAAGCGTTCAACAAGTTCAACCAAACAGATTGGTCTCGATTCGAGAAATTTCATCGAATCCGAAGAAATCCTCTGTGCACATACCGCTTCAGCTGCGCCATGTTGCTGTGATATTTGATCTTCGAGCTGTTGTCACCCTTGAACAGCTGCATCGCTTGGCCGGTCAGGATGTAGATGGTCAGGGTGCCTAAGACCTGCAGGACGAGCAGCATCGTGAGGTCCGCTTCGTTCTTCGGCTTGCTGTGCAAGCAGCCCGATTTCAGGAAGATGGGCATGGCGCGCAGGAGACACAGCAGATACTGCCATTCTTTCGGTTCCTCCCAAAGATGCGCCTTGTGGATCCAAGAGTCGTTGCTCGGACGTTTCGGCAGACGCAGGGAGGTCGTCGCTATCGGTACCAACCAGTAGAGGCAAGACTGCCAGTGCAGCGCGATCACCAACCAGAATACCACTACGCATACGTCGTAGATAGCCATCGGGGCGTCGTAGGCGCGAGCGATTTTCCTCATATAAGAAGCGAAGGAGAACACGCGGAACAGGCACGTCAGAGACGTCAGCTCGCGAGTGACCTTGTATTTTTGCCATATTAGAAGGAAGGCAAGGTCGGTCGGTAGAGAGCCCAGCAGGTCCGGCACGAAGGTGCCGTGTCTCACGTACCTCTTCATGATTTTCTTCAAATCCATCACAACGATGCGCTGCTCATTGTCGAGGTACCTGTCCGACGACAGGTGAAGGAGTGAACGATTATGATGGTTTATAAGTAAAAAAGTTGCAAGCTTCGAGACACGCATCGGGCTCGTTCAATTCAGCGCAATCTTGGGCTTTTACCCTGTAAAGAAATTAACGGCCACGTCCGTGCAGCAGACGACAAGGAGGCAATTTTTGAGAATCGTCCAGTAAAGCAGACGCTCTTCTATCTCGAAGACCGCTTGATACGGAACGGCCAGGAATAAACTCAATGCCGTTAAAATCACTATTAAGTCCCAATAGTGCCTGTGTCAAGAACGATCTGATTTAGTGATATACTTTGTAAATGTGTATGTAGAATATATGTAAGAATGTATGTAGAAAAGGGAAATAATTTCAAATCAGCCACCGTCATTGGGCAATGCCATTAAGCTGTGTAAATATTTATTCGTTCGGTACTAATAAAAAAATATATTAACTACATAAAAAATGAACGAAACAGAGCATCGAGCATCGATTTCACCTTAAATTACATTAAAAATTCTTTATCATTAGAAAGTTAAATACAATTTTTCTTTTTGTTTAAATAGAATAAACTATTCTTTTCGTATAAAATCACGCGATTTGAAGAAAATCTATATTCCCTCTCATCTGAGAAACCAATTTTTCTCGGTGTAAAAATATATATATTAGTATAAGTAAATATGTTATTAATACCTATCGAATAAATATTTCCTACTTCTTTCTATGTTTTTTTTTCTCCGTGCACCTTCGACAATGCGAATGTGTGTACATAAGTATGAGTAGAATTGACATGTGCGAGTTTAAGGGTTATGGAAATTGATCAATATACCTGAGGATGCTGCACGGGTGCAGGACGTATTTGTAATTACGCAAGTGCCGTCGCTTTTCGGTGATTACTGTGGCGCGACTGCGCAAGTACTTGCGAGTGCCTGGATTCTTGTCGGATGCCATCATTAAACGGCGGAAGGCGTCTAACACTCGTTGAAAGAGACCGCGGTCGGGGAGGAAAAATATTTCCCCGTACATGGGACCTATTTCGCACTCGTGCTCGACGCGAAGCATCGTGGGAACGTAGATTAAATGCGTTAAAAGTCAAATGCGAAGGGGAAATAGTGAGCCTCGTTCTCCTTCTGTTTCTCTAAACGTGTATTTTTAGTTGTCGCAATATCATTATGCGAGCACGCGTCATAAATATATGCATCATTCGCAACGGCGGCACCTCTTTGGCTGCGAAAGAAGCGGCTTCCTTCAAAGCAGCACAGCGGCCGCACGGTCGATAATACAGTTTCATATCAATAGTTGGATTCGTCTCTCTCAGTTTGAACGCCGCTGGTTTCCTCTCCATTCGCTTTGATCTGCAAACGGTAACGACACGGTGTGCGGTTTCCGTACTTGGATAATTGAAAATAACGTCGAACGAGAAAACTAGGATCACCTCGCGATCTCTTCGTTGGTAACATCTGATCTGTCGCTGTTCGCTCTTGCAGTACAGCATAGGATAACAGGAGAAAAACGCCATAAAAATGTCTGAAAAATGTCAAAAGTGTCAAATTTTTCGAAGGACGTTCTACCTTTTTTTTTTACGCCTTTTATACGCTTTTACGTGTTTCAGATACATCTCGTTGTTTGCGAATGCAACGTTTCTCTGTTGGTAACGTTTGATCCACCGTTGTTTGTGTATGTAATGTAACTTTTTTCTTTACGGGGACAGCACATTATTTCTGGTCGATTATATTCGTGAAAAATGTTTGAAAATACACGCCAACATCAACAAAGTGTTTCTCCTTGCTTTCTCAACCAAATAACGCAATCCACAACACGAATTATTATTTCAAATTTGAGAGGAAAGGCTCTTTAAAAACACAATGTTTGCCACTGCTTCGAGTCCGTTTTATGCAAAATTCTGGTATCATGCAATGCAAAGAATTTTTTATCTATTGTTCTCTAATAATAAATATATCATTGATTTTCGCTAATTAAAATCCACTAAAATTATGCTTATTTAAAAATTGTAACACGTATCGCATACTTTGGAGCAATTTCCTAAATTTTACGTTCGTATATACGAACGCGTTTGCTAAATATGCGCGACCATCTTGAAATTAATATTGTGCAATATGCACGAGGCACCATATTTCTCATGCGTTCCATGGAAACGCGAATAGATGTCGATATAATTTGCAAGTTTTATATATACATTTCAACGGATGAATTCAGACGTGGTCGGTTTACTTTTAATATATCTGACAGCTAATTTCCACGAGATATAAACGTATCAAGTAAATATGAACGGAAAATCCTTCTTGCCAGAGAGTCACGAGTCGAATTGAGTCGCGAAACGATAATCGTTCTCGCGCAACCGAAATTCCAGTTGTACAGGAAGAGTTGTAAACACTTGGTTATCTCCTGGATAAAGATTATTTTCGATACGATTTTCGCTACGACACGTGTAAAATTGAAAATTATGCGTTCGGCGTCTTGCTTGTTTGATAATTATACTGAGAGAAAAGTATTATCTTATATTAAAGTAGAGAGAAAAGTATTATCTATTTACTTGTATGTGTTAAAACAATCTCGACGATTATAAAACTCATAATACTCCGAATATCTGAATTAATCGTTAGAAGATATTTACTGGACTTTACTGTTTAAATGAAAAAAAAAAATTTTAATTTAAAACCACTAGATTTCTTCAATGGAAAAGAAGTAATACCAGAACCATTATACGCTTACATTCAGTAACTTTCTGCGAATTAAGGTATTATCACCGCGTTTAAGTAAGTATTTATTACAAGCCGTTAAAATATATTTAAATCGATTAAAAATATTATTTGATTTAGACTGTTGAAAAACAGGTAATCACGTTTATTCTAATACTCTTCTTTTCTGCGTATAATTATGGTTATTTGAACGATTTGCCTTACGTACGTAAACATAAGGTCAGAAATCGTATGCTCGCAGTCTAGAGAATGGCCGGGCACTTGTGACTCTTCGCGCGCATTTTTCGATTCGACCGAGTCCGAATAATCGCGGTAAAAATGAAAGTATCCGCCGCAAACGGAGGATCGCTCTCAAGACGGATACACGATGGATGATCTGTTCACGGTACATTTAAGTGATGCTTTATACAAGTCCGCTTTATGAAGGCTCAGACCTTCGCGTTGCGTGCACCGCATAAAGACAACCTTCCGGTACATATATTCCGCGCGTTGAATTCTCGATGTAACGGCGAGATTTTATGGACGATTTTATTCGTTTTCCCATATATACGTACCGGGAATAAATGTATGTATCCACGCGTGAGATCAGCCATAACGCGTGCCTGTTCGAGTGAGTGCAAGTGAGATACATGAGTATCTCGCCGTGCATAAAGAAATGTTTAGCGTTTCGATTTTTATGCCAATGCACGCGCGAATACCGGGCGGTGTGTTGCGCGCCGCTCGTGTCGCGAACGAAAAAGCGTCAAAGAACGAGTCGTCGAAACGCGCTCGTTTCGGGGACACTTTTTAAACAGATATACACGGTCGAATCGCCGAAGAGGGGGCTGCAGAGAAGGTATCAGGAAACACTTTATCCCGGAAAATCTACCGGTTAAGCGGTGCACGCAATTTAAAGTCGCTACTTCTACGTCCGTCCCGGGGGAATTAAGGGTCAGACATGAGGGGGGAGACGAGTATATCGCCAGGAAGTCGGCAGCTCTTTCCGCAGCTTTTTTCTCTCTCTCCTATCCCGGTAATAAATTTTCAAGTCGTCCAGCGACGTCCTGGAACTCAGGAACGATGTTATGGACGGTGCTCGAGAACAAGAAGGGTGGTTACTCAGGCTACGTTTCACAACCCTCCGCACATACTAACGTGGATTTACCGAGGCCCATCCCCCGCGTAACGACGAGTGACTGCGGAAGAGTCTATACACGCTGAGGTTCTCGAGGGGGAGGGGGGAAGTTATGGCCGGTCTCGTTGCTGTATCAATATCTCGTTAGGAACTACGACGGGAATAAAAGCGAAATGTCCGTCTCTTCCTCGGCCGGGACGGCGGCCGACGCGACGAAACTGCGACCTCCCGGACGCCACTGCTCGTGTCGTCTCGTGACGATGTCGGACGAACTTAGGCGCGGGAACGATCGTTGAAATCAGACGTCTGAAAGTCGGACGAAAAATCAGTCGGCACGTAGCACAGGGTAGCCGATGAATGTCCTCGCGGAGAAAACTCGGCGGTTTTCACTCGATCAAGTCACCGATGCTTTTTCCGGACCTCGTCGACTTGTTTAAAATGCGTATCCGCCGGACGATGTTGAAGCGACCGAAATAGTTGGTAATCCGACCAGATCTGACGAATAAGCCGCATAAGGGAGGATTTCCCAGTCCAATGTATAGATGAGATTCTACGTCCCTTTTGCGGCATTTGACCGCGTTGTCGAACAGCAGAATCACCCGCCTAGTTCCGTTGCTGGTCTTTTACATAGGTCTTTTCACAAGTTTCACGGGTGCCACAGCACCCTTCACCCGAAACGGGACAAATCACTTCGGTGGATTGAACAGCATTTTTATTCAACTGCAGTGCAAAAAGGATGCAGCGCCTCAGATACTTCTTTTCGAACAGCATTGTAATGACTACTGCTTTCTGAGGTTACATTGGCGAAGTCGTCAACTATTGCAGCGCTTCTTAAAGCCTAAGTTTGGCGCTTTCAAATCACCATATAGGACGGGGAACATATTTAAATTTGAACCAGAATTACAGGACGTTAAATGCAATGGCACCGAATTAATTTGCGCACACTTAATAAAATTCAACAAGAATTTCGGCACGGCGAAAAATCAAGCAACGCTAATAATACAACTGGACGCGTTTGAAACTGCCGCTTTAGCTGTAACCACTGTACATAATAGACGAAGTTCATATTTTGCCTGACAGAGTCCGGTACTTTATAGCCGAGAAACAGGGGATATGCCGGTTTACCATACCCATGTCGGTTCCGATGCGTTTCCTCTGCTCCACGGGAAACGCAAGTTTCGAGTTTTTGGGGGCGTCGCGATGCACAAACACGTTACCATACGTTGCCGAGAAATCGGCTTGCGGTATCTGGACTGGCTGGGAAATGACGGAAACGCTTGAATCGTTAAACAGGATTCGTAGTGCGCGTATGTTTGCATTTGTTAGTCATCTATTAATAATTAGCTGTGTTCCGGTCCCCTCATTAGTGCGGAAGATGGATCATTTCAAGTGCGCGTAACGAGCTTTATTTCCACCCTGTCCCGTGTAATTCCATTCGAAATTTGATTGAAATTTATGGCTGCGAAGTAGAAACTTTACAAATAAATCCCGCCCGTAATTATCCATATTTACCGATGTCATCGTCATATTGCGTTTCATTCCGATACCATACACCGATGTATATAAATATATATATATATATATATATATAGCTTACACGGATTATTGCACTCAGCCGTTATTCAATAACACAAGTGGAAATGATCGAAATTTAGTTATTCAAATATCGTTGTCGATACTTTGCGACACAAAACACGCATTGTTACATCGTGCTGTTTGCCGAATGCAATATTAATATAGCACGCCGCATTTCATACCTGTAGAGAACCACTCCCCTCCCCCCCCCTTCTCCCTCTTTATAGGAAGGACACAAATGGGGAAAGTACAGCGTGAAAAATGAAATGGCATAAAAGAGAGGCGCCATTCCGTATTTATTAAGCGTTGCCATTACACAAATATTATCACCGCGAATAATTTCATTTTTATAAGGCCGCTGCCTGTGCGCGCGCCGTGTTTCAGCGCAATTGTCAGGGCCCCGGGATGTTTCTTTTATATTTACGACGTAAGGGCGCGCGCGCGAACGAAGGTAATTCTTGCTTCCGCCGCAATGATCAATAAACCGTCCGCGCCGTTGAACGACGCTTTATACTTCGATGGATGTAACGCCGGGGAAAGAGGCGGCAACTGGTGGTCGTAAGTACTTCCGCGTACGTATGGGTTCTCTCCGTCTACACGCACACACACATAGAGAGAGAGAGAGAGAGAGTGTGTGTGTGGCAACGATACCG